GCCCACCACATGAATCAGCCAGCTGCTGCAGCCATCTGCCCCGCTGCCTTTTCCAGAGGTCGCCCGCCCCCTAGCGCTCTGATGTCAGCACCAATGAGAGCCGAGCAGCGACATACCAAGCAGGCGACATACATACAGACCAGTGGTACTTCAGGCGCACTGGAACCGGAAGAGTCTTACTGAGCAAAGTCACTAGACAAGGTTCCGGTCCTTGAATATACCAGTGAGGCTGAGATGCATAGATCGTTTTCCTTCATTTTCAGCCGTAAAGATCGACAGCAAGTAAATGTGAATGGGAATAAAGTTACCGAACTAGTTTGTACTGTTACATACAGTGAACCTGAGATCTTGCAGTTAATGTCAGGCAGCCAAACAGCAACAAGAATGCTTTTGCAGTGCTAATTGTGGTGTATGGTGGGAATGGTTCTCATAGCCCTGTTCTCCAGTACCAGGTTTACCAGGCAGGTGGGTGAGAAGGGAAAAGACCATGAAAGGTGAACATACAGCCATCTAACCTAACATACAAACACCAAATCAGCCATCAAATCCTATCCCACATGACCTGACCACATGACTGCAAGCCCCGATCAGAGACACTGGGAAACACTGGAAACTGCCCTATAAGGGACCTCAACACCATCATAAAACTAACCAGATGTTCCTGGAATCGTTTATCCAAGACATCCCCGAATACATGTTTTACAGGAGTACTTCTAGAGAACCAGTGAGCCAGAGAGCCAAACTTTACCAGAATTCACCAGGACAAAACATGCAATAAATCTATATTACATCAAGGAACACAAACTGTGGTGACAGACACTGAATCACGCAGTATTCTGTCAGCGGTAAGGTCACTGAGACACAGGACAGACAGCACACACCGGCTGTTGATTCAGGTGGGGCAGTTAATGACCACATGTTGATGGTTTACGTTAGTCCTGAGGTGGTGTTTGTAGACCAGAGCATCTTATAGTCACCTGTGTGCTTCACTCATCAGGGCCAGAATAATAGAAGGTCCTTTCATTTGGAGAGAATTTAAGGCAATGTTTTAGCTCTTCTTTAAACCTTAGCGCCAATCAAATCTTGCAGCTACATCCCCAGGTGACAAACAGCGTAGCTGCATCCCGGAAGCAATAGCAGTGCTTGAAATGTGATCTTTACAGATGATCTATTTGTAAACGAAGCTCAGCGATGACCTTCTCTTGCAGCTTGGGGGTAATTCAACAACAGCATGACCGCCCAGAGTAGTAGCCATCCATCAACATGTTTCCTAACACAGGTAGAGACACTTTGCCTCCGGGGGACTTTGGTCATGGAAATTCCACAAGCCGTGGTTTACACAAAAACAGATGTTTGATTGTTTTCGTTCCCCCGCTTTTTTTCAGGCTGGCTTTTGCATGCAGGCGAGATTTACACCCTGTTGACATGAAAAGCAGGAGCAGTGGAGCTAAACACAGTGACTGTGTTTTTATCAGCTAGATGCACAAAAACAGCCCAACGGCTATGTGAAGGACGGCCTAGAGGCATCGAAGGTGAAATCTTTGGACGCTGACAGTCCCCAGTTCACGGTTCCCTAAACAAAAACAAAAAAAAAACTTGTGATTTAATTTAATTCTAATGGATCTTTATTCAGAGAAGCACAGAAAAGTAGCTAATGTCTGTATTTCTGCGATGTTTAGACAACAGACATTTTCAAGGACGCCAAATGCAGAATTGGGGGTCAGTTCCAGCATTTCAGTAATGCCCAAGCGACGTTTAGAGTTGCGGGAATTAAAAAGCGCAAGCGAGGCACGTTAATCTGAGTCGCACAACGGTTCCTCAGACAGTCATACTGCGGTACTTAGGAATTAGCAAAGTATCACATCCCGAAAGCAGAATACAGGTGTGAAGCAAAAGCTGGGGTCACGGACTTCAGACACATTCTTTTCGCCTTACGGAGCAGAGTCTCAAATCGATACTCTCAATACGGCGAGAACGATAACATCTGGCAGCTGAAATATTAGTGCGACGGACCTCTGCCTGACAAAAGCACTCACTGTGCTCAAGTTTCACGCCTGGCACGCCTTCCCGGTCTCATACATGACAGTACAAACTGTCACAAAAAAGAGACTTCCTACTCACATGTTCCTACTGCTCCTGGATCGGTAGTTTAAGGGAAACAGCTCTAACTGTGCCGAAGAGTAGCGTTTCATTTAGGTAATCGCACGGTCAGGTTACAGACCCAAACCCAGTATGGGGATTATAATCAGTGACTAAACACTCAGACAATGTGTACAGACAGAATCCTCAGCACATTCTCATCAAAGAAGCTTCAGTATCAGTATTAGTGCACAAGACCACAAATGAAACTGGTACAGATTTGGGCAAAGAAAAGTTTTCTTCATGTAAGAGATGCCAAATATTTGGAATAAGCTTCTCATAGTGACTCATTCACTTGGTAAAGCATCAGATATAACTTAATTGGACAATGATGATGGATGGCAGGTATAAAGTGTCCTGATGAGCAAGACAGTTCATACTGTCAGTTCAGCGCCAACTTTTCCATGTCAGTGGCAGGAACGTGACTCCAAGATACCCAGGAGATACCCAGGAGGTACCCCTAGATACCCAAGAGATGCACAGAAGATACCCCAAGAGATACAGCAAGATATCCTGGAGGTACCCAAAAGCTACCCTAAAATCCCAGGAGATATTCAAGAAATAACCCAAGATACCCAGGAGGTACCCAAGAGATGCTCCAGTATGCCCAAGAGATTCCCTAAGACACTCAGGAGATACCCAAGAAATACCCCAAGATACCCAGGAGATACCCAAGAGATGCTGAATTATACCCAGGAGATACCCAAGAAATACCCAGGAGATGCCCAAGAGATACCCCAAGATACTCAGGCTATACGTAAGAGATATAGCCAGGGAAAAATACAGACCATATGGTTTTATGTCCTCTTATCTATTTGTGATAATACATGCACCAAAAAGAGGGAGAAAGGAAAATAATTGCTTGTTAAAAATGTAATTGTCTAAAAATAGTCCACAGATAACTTTTGAAATGTAAAAACGTCTTGATGCAATAGTATGTCAAGCCCTTGAACAGAACCTACTTGTTCTACTGTTTGCAAATTGATTCCCTTTGCTGATTGTGAGACAGCTGCTGGTTCCATACGCATGACAAGAAATGCAGCTCAGGTTAAAGTTCTTAAATACTCGCTCCTCATATATCACAAACCGTAATCCCTGAAGAATATTTGATCTGTTGCGGATATTTGGTTTATGGGCGAGCTTCACAGCCAGGAAAACACTCTCCCAACGAGTCACGTACTACATCGACCGGATTGCGCAACGCGGCCCGTGACAGACTTGCTCCGGCAGATCCCTCCTGTCAGAGCATGTTGCCGAATGCATCCTGTAAGTCAGGAATCGCCCGACTCGCATTTAACTCTGCAGCCTCTGATAACAAAGCTCACACAAAATGATGAAAAGAACCAAGGCAGGGCGCCCCCCAGCTTTCAACATTCTGATGTACGTCAACTTATTCCACTGATTTGCTGATACTACCCCCTCTGTAGGTTTGTAAACACGACCGATCAGTAAAAGTTACATGAACTTGAAGGGCTTCCGGCCCACCTATGGCCTTACCTGGCTGGTGTGTGCTTTCCAACACTGTCCCGTTATTACCTAGAAGCCTGTAACTCATTCCGTTTGTGCAGGGGCCGGCTGATCCGTTGAGGAGAGCCCCGCCACCCCTCTTGCTCGAGTTGGATCGAGTGGGAACGGGCACGAAGGTGGGGTCCAGATCCAAGATTAGCTGGTTCAGCTGGTCAATGGATTGGTCGATGTCCACGTTGAGGGAAGCGAGGTCGTCTTCTCTGACGTCCGAGTGTGCACCTGCGAGCCCATGCACCGGCATGCTGTGAGCCCGCTGCAGGGCTCCCCCGTGCGTGGGGGTGTCTTGAGGTCCGTACGACCTCGTCAGGGTGCTCTGCTTGCTGGGGGAGAACCTCACGGCGCCCTCTGTGGGTCGAAAAGTGTATTGCTGGGCAGCCACCATTTGTTGGTGGTGAACCCAGGTCTGTGTGGAGTAGCCTCTCTCGCCAAAAGCCAGGGGCTGCACTTCTGGGGAAACGGATGCGCTTCTGTGAAAGTAGCACGTCCGCTTGCCGTCCACTCTTCTGGCCTCACGTGGGCGTGCCAGGGCGTACTCCTCGCCCGCTCCGCTGCCAAAGCCTTCCGACAGCAGAGAGTTCTGGCTTCCCTCGTAGTGGCCTCCGTACGGCCCATCGGAAGACGACAGCGTGCCAAGGCTGTCTACGCTGCGCAGGTCGTGGGCGGGGACTTCGTCGTCCAGAATGTCCGTCTCCTGCTGCTTCGGCCTAAGTTCTCCCGGGCCCGCCTGCCTCCCCACCGCGGCCGACCCGCGTTCCGACATCACACTAGGGGGTTCACCCTGCTCGCACCCGAGTCTGCTCGGCCGCACTCTTGGTTCGGATGGGCTTTTCGAAGACCGGCCCGTCCTCAGGGAGGCGCTAGAGAGGCCGGAGTCGCTGCTGGTGGACGCTGTGTGATCGCTGCGTGCGGGTGCCCCCTGGATCCGTCTCTGCGGCACCCCCTCAGAACCTCTCTGGCCGACTTTGGCGGGGGGTCTGGCGTCCTTGGGATCTTGAGCATGTGACACTAGAACGACAGGAACGGAGGGCTTCAGCGTGGGGGGGGGGGCGCAACACGGGGGCCCCACGGCTCAAACCTTGCAGGGAGGGGCTTTCACCACTCACACTCGCACTCACACTTAAACGCACCGAAGATCCTTGCGCAAACCACACTGCACCTAAATCAAACCCTGCTGTCTGCTATAACTCACCGAGACAATGTGGCATTTTTATTACCCATGTGTTTGCGGTGTGTCAAAGCAAAAAAAAAATCAAAGGCTACCCCCACCTGGATGATCACTGCTCTGGTCTAGGTGATAAGGGCTTTCTAGAAAAGAAAATCATACGTGTGAAGATTTAGTGTAGAGTAAACTTGTGAAACACCGGTATGAGTGCAAAAAATGTCTGTCCTTTGCAATATATTTTTTCAATTTATGCTGCAGAGAAGAAAAACTGTAAAATGAATAATTCTTATCTAATGATAAGAACATTTATTATAAAGCGGCCGTTGTTGTTTAGACTGGAGATGATGGCTTACTAAATTACTCAGCAAAACTGAAGTCTGGCCAAATCTATCACATGAAAAATCAAGGCACTGAATCATGGCCTGAAGGGTAACAAAATATACACTCATTCGTCTGACCTTAGAGCAAACACAAATGCAAGCTAAATAAATGCCGGCTGTTACATGACTCATAGAGCCCCGAGTGTACAGTGATATACCCCTGGACAGTCCTCACGTTTACATCGAGGATTAAGTTAAAATCGTGACAAATCTTTTCAAGATTCCAAAAAATGCACCCTAAACAACCTACAAAACCTGCGAAGTATATCTTGTGGCCAGATTTGGTTACAGCTAAAGTGTCACTTCCCCGAAATGTCTCGTGTCCCCGAGGCGTGAGTGATGGCAATCGTAGTACCGGATCTGCAAACATCCTCACCCCAGCTTGAATGTAACATCGAAAGGCCAAAGTAAATCCCCCTGTCAGTTTGTAAGGTCTGCAAACGCCAGCCTCTCGCTCCTGGGCCTACAGATGAATACACAAGCATGTAGACTCCACGATGAAGAGAAGATAAAATCATATATGCATCATATGCCAAAAAAACACCCTGAATTCATTTGAGTACCATCTGAATCAGCCAATTCACACAGAGCAACACGACCAACATCTCCATTACCCTTCCGGCTCCAAACCAGACATGCATGGTAAAACAACAGCACACCCCCATTAGATTCTTCTACCTCCACTTTTCAAAGTATATAAGAATTCCTCAGCAACCACAATAACCGGAACTTTCCTTCCTTGGCGGTGAAAGACTGCAATGAAAGGTCTGTTTCCTCTGCTTCCACCTCACCCATTTTCTTTCCTTTCTTTCCTCCCTCTCTCCTTCCTCCCCAACTCCCCCTATTAATGCCCCCCTCGCCCCCTCCAACCCATCCAGCCCAAAGCACTCACCTTCCCGGTGTCTCACTCGCAGCAGGTAAGCGCTTGGAGTCTCTCACGTTTAGAAAGCCGGGCTGTGAGAGACGGCACCCCCTGGAAAGGTGGCCCCCAGACCCCCCCCCCCCCCACACGCCGCTAAAGGAGCCGCCCATGTTTTAACCCTCCCTGCAGCACCAAGAAGGCGAGCGTGTGCCACAATGGCCCAGACATTCAGCATGACAAATATGGGAAGGGGAATGTAAACATGGGGGCGGGGCAAGGAAGGGGGCGGAGCTAAGAGGAGGCGGGGCCAGGGGGCAGCAGTAATTTGAACCAAAAGGGGGCTGGTGAGTTGGTTTGGATAGGACAATGAGGCATACAAAAAGGGGAACAGAGGAAGGAAAAAAAAAACAACTGGAGATGAAAACAACATTCTTTCATCCAAGTATTTTTCTCTCCCTCTTTTTTTGGCCTGGCAAAGCAGTGCTTTAATTACAGCAATGTCACTCTCTTATTGAGCTGTTTTTGAGAAGCAGTTGGAAGCCTCAGCTGAAATTATCACTAAATTATACATCAGCCTAGGACATTTTTAACACCGTTATGAAACCAGATGTGTGCAAACCACAATTGTCAGGTTCAATTGTGTCATCTGGTGTTTCTCTTTTTATTGCATATGATCCCCGACAGATAGACACCTTCCACAATCAATCTCCTGTTTCCAGTATTTTTACTGCCCATCAGAGACTAACGAAGAGAGATCAATACCATTCATGGCACCTATTAGAACACATTTTTAAATGATTTAGGGACAAAGGACAATAGCATCAGCAAAACATAAAGGTGACATTTAAGGTGACATGGTCAATGTGGTTGATTCGCAAAATGAACTAAATCGGCTTTTTTGTTATTTGGCAAATTATTCAAAATGGAACAGTGTGTTTTTATTTTTCTAACTGAAAAGCATGGAGGAGCAAGCAGCTCAGTCATTAAGGATTTAGACTAAGGAAAAATCTGAACGCAGGAAAAGAGAAAGTGTGAAATTATACGTTAAGTTAAAAAAAAACCCATGCCAAGCAGAGACTGGATGTGAGGTCTGTGGTTACTGCGACTGCAGCGGGAAAGGCTGTAAAAAGAAGGATTTGCGTAGAGCTGGGCAGGTTTCGGTAGCGCGGGAACGGTCCCGGCATAAGCAGCATCCGTGATTTAGCGTTTCCGCTGTTAGCGCTTTTAGTGTTGCCGTCGCATGTTTGCAGGATGAGCCCAGCTCGCGATGAGACATTTCTTAGCGTTAGTATTCCTGTTAGGGCCTGTGCGGCGGGCTTTTTTTTTTCATGCGCTTGCCGTGAGGGGTGTATAATCACAGCGTGGGCGAACCGCACACAGAGGCCTAGCTAATTCTAACACAGCCGCTGGTCTGCGGCATGGAGATGAATGGGTCGGGCCGGGCCGGGACCGCGCACCTGCGGCTGTCGCTTTAGTGAAAAGAGGAAACTTCTGCAGAAGAATCGCCGTTTATCTCCATCAATGGATCATGGATAATTCGGGATAAGAGACATGTTTTGCTATGATATCATGTGACTCCCCTTCATCCAGGTGCATAGCAGAGCAGTCTATGGTTCAGTGGGTTAGGCCTCTGTGCCTGTGATCAGATGGTTGCTGGTTCAAGTCCCGTCCTTGGCAGAATAACTATATCTCTGTTGGACAGTTGGATATGGTCTTTAACCTCCCAAAATGCTCCGGGGGGGGATTTTCATTTCACACAGTGGTTCAAGAAAACTCATTAATATTCATGAGAGAAGCTACCCAATTGGCCGGTAAACATGCTCCCAGCAACATGTGCTACCTGTTTTGTCAGAGTGGTTCGGGAAAAATAATATTCATCAAGCTTCCTGACTGGCCAGTGAACGCCATCTAAGGCACTCACTGGCCAATCAGGTAGTGTGTCTCTCATGAATATTAATAAGTTTTCCCTAACCACCCTGTAAAACGAAAACTCGCCTCCAGGGGCACCAGATCAAATGGCTGATCCTGCACTGGCACTGCAAGTCCTGTTCTCAACTGTATGCATGTCTCAAGGGAGACCAACATGGGGTCTGCAAGGAAAGCAGCATTCCAATGTACTTGTGCAAATGGCAAATAAAGATTTGTTTTGTATTCACAGGTCGTGGATTCACTCACCTAATATCTTTGGGCGGCAAGAGGAAACCTGAGCATCCAGAGGAACTACACACGCTATGCACAGAATGGGCATTAAACCCACAGCCCTGGGGGGCACAAGGCTGCAGTCCTACTCAGTGACCCACCAAGACCATCATTTCACTGGGTACTTTAAGGCTGACTGTGTGAGCATGCAGACTGGGGCCTGTCTTAGCTGCCAAATCATATACTGCCTTGATCTGCTTAAGAAGAGCAGCTTGGTCCCAGTGATTACTGAGAAGATGAGTTTCAGGGGTAGGTGGGGCATCTCTTCCGAAATGCAGCGTTTGCATGTCAAATGAGGGGGTCTGAACAAAGCAGGGAGGGCACTGAATGATCTGCGGCTGAGAAATTACAGTAACTCAAAAAGTAATTTGTCGCCTTGTTTGTGTATCTCTTTTGAAAGACAGCCGGCCTTTTCTTCACAGACCAATTGTTCCCAGATTCAGGAGTCGGGAATCACACAGAGCAGCAGCCCCCATTGCGTTGCGGAGACAGACATTATTCCCTGCGCCTGCATGTTTTCTATTTTCAGCGTCTGCTGGAAGCGGAGTAAACAGCCAGCACTGAGCAGAGAGGCCCGGTGTGGGTGGAGCATCATACTGTAGTGGCCGGGGATGCAGTTCTGGCCTCCGCCAGAAGGGCGGCGGATGCCCTGCTCGAGGTGCAGAGGTGATGGGGGTGAGGATGGGCCACCATCTTGCGTATGCAAAGAAATATCGCCAAGATTCACCCAGCCCTAAACTTAACCATAAGTAACAAAACTAAATACGAGACTTTTGGCATTTTTAGTTTTTTGATTGCAGTCACAGATTTTTATGAAATTGAGTTTCCCCTTGTGGGGGCCGAAAAAAATGCTCATCACATCATCAAAATAAGAGGCTTTTAATCACATCTTGGGGACATTTGGTCACCAAAATGTAATATATACATAACTCACACACCCACACACACACTCACACACACACACACACACACTGGACCTGACTCTTATTGCCTAGCAACAAACTCCCTGTTCAGCAACAAGCAATAAAGAAACCAGCAATCTCTTTCCTCAGTTGCCAAAATATGAAACATCATGTGGAAACAGAGTTTATGTTATTGCAATCAGGAATCTATTCAGCCTAAATTTGTTTCACAGAGCAAACAAGTTCACACAAGAGCAGCCCAAAGTGTTTTCATGGAAAGCTCCAAAATGACACAGCTGTCACGTTTTAGGGCAAACGAATGTTTCGCAGTTTCAAAAATAACCAGCAATTGAACCAGGTCTTCTAGGTCTGTACAAAAGTACAAGAAAATAGTAGAAATAGCTGCCTTCCTTAAGATGATTGAACATAATTTATATTGGTTTAGGCAGAAATTCTAAACATGTCATTAGATTTCATTATGTAGCTCAACACTGAAGCAATTTAGCATTCGTCAAGCCATCTTGACCCTAAAAACAGCTGTCTTACCTAAGCTTATCCCACCAAGCAACGATGTGTAATTATGTCCAACAACAATACATGACATTTTCCACCACGGAGGCCCTGTACGTCACTCCAGACCAGACTGAGTACAATGGAAACATGCATGGCGACCAGCACTGGTGAAGGATCAGCTTATTGTACAGTGGGATTTACAGTAAAGCACTGGTGAAGGATCAGCTTATTGTACAGTGGGATTTACAGTATAGCACTGGTGAAGGATCAGCTTATTGTACAGTGGGATTTACAGTAAAGCACTGGTGAAGGATCAGCTTATTGTACAGTGGGATTTACAGTATAGCACTGGTGAAGGATCAGCTTATTGTACAGTGGGATTTACAGTAAAGCACTGGTGAAGGATCAGCTTATTGTGCAGTGGGATTTAGAGTAAAGAGAACAATCTGTTACCTTCAGCGTCACAGCTGATGTTCTGGTAGGAATCCCACCGTATCAGTGGATCTGCAGTGTTGTATTCCACAGTGATGGCAGGAACATTCTCCCATCGCTCAGAACCTCCAACAAGAACCAGAACACAGTGTCAGGAAGCAAGCAATTCCGTTTCCACTTTTACAGATGAGCAAAAGTAAAACTCGTATCTTGCAGCCATGTGTTTCAGAGTGGGGACCACTTTATTGCCTGTTTTAAGAGCTTTCGTTCTCCTAACGAGGCACATAGTCTTTAGTAGTCTTTGGGGATTCGGCAATTAGTACCTTGCATCTTCTCTGGACTCTCAGACATGACGAGCTCAACCTTGCCGTAATCAGGAAACCTGGGGTCTGGAAAATGAGGAGGGGTGAGATGGGGAATGGTAAATGGTACACGCTGAAGGGTAACAGCGTTGTGACACTTTGATTTAGTTCAAAAGCAGTTTTCAGTGAAATAAAGAATCTGTTTTACAGTATTATCTGAAGGTAAGTAGGTAACCTAAGGCAATCACACTGATGGTCTGTACCTAAAAAGCTTTTGATAGAATAAAAATTCATTCGATGAGCAAAACTGAGAAAAAAAAACCAGTTCATTCATTTGTAATTTTTTCTTAAAGAAAAAAGAAATTCTCATTTTCTTATGGACAAATTTCCAAAAAAAAATTTACAAATGACTCGTCCAGCTCCCAGATACTACAACAAATACAAACTGAAGAAGGATGATGGTGTAAGTACGCGTAAGCTAACCATTAGCCACCCTAGGCTCAAGGTATCGTCTGTTACAGGCACAACACTGGTCTACCTTTGTTTGCATTTTCAAGGTCCTCCTTCTCAAATATGAGGCTGCAGCCCTGAACGGTGCCCGTGTGAAACTGGAGACGAAAAACCGGCTCCCGGCTCAGCGTCCGAATGTTTTTGTGGTAGCATTTGACCTGCGTCATTAAAAAAAAAAATAATGATTCATTGAAAGACCGGATCAGAATGCATTAATTCTGGTGTTTTCTACGGCAGTTTATGTAAAGTGGCCCTCTGGTACCAATCCCAGGAAGGAAGAGAGCCCACAGGAAACGCACTCAATCATGGCAGCAAAATCTGAAGTCCACAGGGTCATGTTTGAGGCTGAATTTGAGCTTAAAAACCGTGAGGAGTGTGAGGATAATTCTACCCCTAAAACCCCAATTCGAAATGCAGGAAATTCATGAGTACTGCATATACATTTACGTAGATGTTTAAATAAAATAAAAAATCACTTACCAGGATGTCACCTTTGAGCAGCTGTGCAGGCTGCAGGGCGATGTACAGCCTGTTTCTGTGTCCTGCTCCTATGTGACTGTGCAGTAGATCCACAAATCAACATGTACGCCACGAACCGTCAAACTTCATCTCTTTTTAAGCTGACATGGGACCCCACCATTACTACCTATCCATACCCAGCAATCCCTTTCCCACTTGCCACTGGCTCCCATTCTGGTGAAATTAACAATCGCTATACAGTATATACACCAGCGTTGGGCATTTCATGTCCAGAAGCTACAAATCCAGACCAAGATTTTGTTTCTACCAACCAGTTGAGCATTAAGAGTCACAGTCACGGAGTACCCACCTGGTTGGTAGAAACAAAATCCTGGTCTGGATTTGTAGCTTCTGGATCTGAAACGCCCAACCCTGATATACGCATGCCCAAACACATACACACAGACATTCACCGTCGTGAAGAAGCTTTATAAGCCAATAACAAGGCAGCTTACTAAATCCCAGAAGAGTAGACCAATTGCATTCCCTGGTAGACCTTCAAGTACGGTCGGCAAACTGGAAAAAAAAACAGGGACAAGGAATGTAGATGGAAAATGTTGATGGATTTTAAAACACAGGCATGACCTCAGAATACGCAGCTCTGATGTTGATTAGGAAGCTTAAAACATGGTGCCTATGTAGCATCATTAGGACTATATAGTAGCTTTAATAATTCTTTAATTAGTGTATATGGTCACATAGAATGCTAATTGTGCTGTTGCTGACGATGCCTCCTTCTCTACATTAAGCTGCATCGTGCAAAAACATATAAACATATAACATGTCGTGCTGAGGTTGCGCTGTGCACTATTGACCTCTCCTAGAATAGGATGTACAATTTTGGTCACCCCTGCACTTCAAAGAGGATTTGAGAGCGGCTACAGTGGAGAGCAAACATAATGAAGCCTTGTCTTAAAGGGATATGATGCAAGAATAGCTTTGAAGCAGTGCATCAATAAAAGGTATTGGGGGCACGACCCAGGTAAACAAGGCCAATCCTGATGATTAGCCAAGGACTAGTTCATATCGGAACAAAGAAAAGATTTATTTACGCAAAGGACGGGGGGGGGGTTGAATATGCTCCATTCTTAAAATCACTCAGGTTAACATTAGACTGAATTTCACCCTATAATTAAATAAATAAAATGTGTTGAAGGCCCTCTCACATTTGAAATATCTCGTATATCCCTGTGTTCTTACAAACCATGAATGGTTTTGTGGGGTCTTCTATCATACCACAATACACAATACAGCCTGGTTCTACCATGTTAAGGTTCCATGGATTCTCTCCAGCTTTGAGGGCTCCATTATGGGCAACATACCTCCATTCTCAAAGTCAGGTATCCCGTGGAGAATGACGCAATGCAGGAAGTGAGGGGAGGTGTTCATTTTTATGGAGCCGGTCAAGAGGCTGTTTAGAATCCAGACATACCTACAGTTGGAAAGTAAAAACAAACACATAACTTCAAAGAGGAACCCATAATGTGAATTATTAACTGCAGGAAGGCTTACGGCGAGATGACCGTCAGCCAAGCTGGTCGTTAACCCCTGTCGAGTAATGATGTTTCATCACAGAGGTTTGTTCTCAAATCGAAATCACAGGTGTGAAGAACCATCACGGGCAGAACAAATCATCACCTCTTCTGTGAGGGTGTCATCATGGGTGACACTTTGTCGTCGTAGAACTTCCTCATAGCGAAGCGTTCCAAGGCCTGGTCAGCACTATGAAAGAAAGACGTTATTGTTGTTTAGTCTCTCAGTGGGTGCTCAACCCTTTTATACAGACAGGAACTTCCAGCTACAAAAACAGCTTTAACTAAGTAATTGCTTTATACTGATGGATATTCCTGCTCCTGTTAAGCACATACATGTCAGTCTAGCTGAGGTGGGAAGTTCAGGTCCAGAAGGTACAAATCCAGACCGAGGTTTTGATTCGGCCAACCAGTTGAGTACTCTGTGACTGTGACTCTTTATACTCAACTGGTTAGTTGAAACAAAACCTTGGTCTGGATTTGTACTTTCTGGACCTGAACTTTGCACCTATGGTGACAGGTGATAGAAACCTGTACAATTTGGTGAAAATAGTGAGGCTTCGAAAAAGGTGGGATCTCCTCATAAAAGCTGGAAGGATATGGAAATTCTGACGATACCAATACCCGATATATTTTTGTCTAATGTTGCCAATACCAATAACCGTGTAACTGTTGCTGGCAATATGCCTGGTGGCCATTTTAGTCCTAGCAAATGAGATGGCAAGATGGGCTAAAACATGGTACAGTGTGAGACTTCACAGTTCAAGCACATTTCTTGAGGGTCCATGAGTCTCCTCAAACTATGGTTTTATTCCTATTGAGCGTCAACGACGTCAATGCAGCACATTCAAGTGACGCCAAGGCAATACATAGATTATTTCAAATGGTAGTTATAATTGATTTTGAGCTAATACCCACAAACCGCAGCTGAACACTGAGCCCATTGGACATTCTTAAGATCCACCCCAGTGGAGGTATTCCTGCAGCATTGTCAACGGACAGCATTCCCCAACTGTGCTCTAGCCAGAAGCAGGAATTCTTGAACCGGCCCTGTTACCTCGCAGAGACTTCAGTGAAATGCACAAAGGATGAAGTGATCACCCCAATCCTCCCTTTTCCACCCTGCACATGCGGATGAGAAACAAACAATAAACAGTGAAACTATAGTAAAAACAAAAATCACTACAGTAGCTACATTCCATTGAACTCTCATTAAAAGGTCTCTCACTAAAATTTCGTCTACAAGATTCAAGAATACATGCCAGGGGCAAATAATTCTGCAGAGACACAATATTAGGTGTGGCACAGTAAATAATATGAGTGCTTAAATAATAATAGTCTTAAGCAATAAATATAATCCCTCAAGAAGGAAGACAATGGGCAATTTACTCAATAATGCATCATTACAAACCCCATTTCGAGGCCAAAACACACTCCCAGCGATTAAATACCAGCAGGGTAAACATTATGGAGAAAAAAATATGGGCTGGATACTCACACGGCAGTGAATGACCACCACGTGCTGGGGGTCGGAGTTCAGCCAGGTCTCCATGGCCTTGCAGATGGTGCAGATCTTGTCCAGCGGCGGGGCGTGTAGGTCCGCCCAGCCGGTGTCCAGGGTCTGAAACGTCAGGGCTGCCGTTTTCACAGAGGCTTCCGCAGCAGATCTAATTCTACGGCTCCCAGCCGCGCTTCCATCTAAAGGTACCGCGCTCCTCAACTTTATGAGCAGAAGCAGGAAGATGGTCATCTGGAGGTTACACCAGGAACCCTTTGACATCACAACAAAACCCAGGGACCTCCCCAGGGACCTCCCCCGGGCTCTCCTTATGCTCCCTGCCTGCTTGCTAACTTCCCGTTAGCACCGACCTGTACGTTTCTTCAGAGAAAAACACCTGGCAAATGAATATAGGTCAGGGCTACTCAGTTATTTCTCCCCGGGTCCAAATCCCATCAGCCGCACGAAGCCATGGATGGGGACCGAGTGGGCTGGATTCTTTTGGTGGATTTTGCTAACCTTGGGGGGGGGGGGGGTGTGGGGGTTGAATTTGCACATTATTCTGATGGAACTAGTGGAAAGCAGCAATTGCATTTCAGTTGCATTGAAGTTCTCTGTGCGACTGAAAGATCTCGTGCAAAGGAGACAGTTCTGAGCTTGTTGAGACAGCGAGATTCTTTAACAGAGCTAATTTAATTAAGTCTCTATTTGGGCACATTACAGCCCCCCCCCCCCCCGCAGGGGTTTGGACTACATCAGCATCTTTCACGTCTCTCATCATTAAACTGCAGAAGAAAAATGGTCCTGTGTGTCTCCCAAATGGAGGGATGGGGGGGGGCAGGATGGGGGGGAGGATAGGGGGGCACACGGAGTTTACTTGTCAGTTTGATCATTAACTTTCCTTTTAGTTATTTTTTTTGGCTCGATTTTTTTTTTCTATGTGCCCAGAACTTGTGACACAAGCACACCTGCCTCCCCCTCACAATCGTGCCCCAACGTGAATCAACTTCACGCTTGAAAAGAACGGTACCTTGGGGTTCGTTTTGGTGAGATCCGCCCGCTTTTCGGAAAGGTTGATCACCTGCGTGGAAACCAATACAGTAATTAGGCTCTTCCCACTTCACATTTCTCAACCCTTTTGTTAACATGGCTTAATGCCTTTTGCCTGGAAGACGAAAACACACTCAGGGGCTATAAGGATCACTGTTAGGAAGGGCGAATTGCGAAGAGATGCACTACTCTGCCTGGAAAGGACATTAATAAGTTTTATGCTAGACAGAATCCACGATGCTAAGCATTTTCAACATAAATGAATAAACCTCTTTAGCTAATTAATGAATTGATCGTAAATACCTCTATTTCTGCATTTTATACAGACAGGAACTTCCAGATTAAGTGGATTTCGGAACGATGCAGGAGGTCTTAACACACATTGATGTATCTGCACAGATCTGTCTGCGTTTATCTAAAGCGACGTACACAGCTAGCTACCGTGCAGTTTGGCCATTTATGCAGCTAGTGGGAGCTTTTTAATGTGAAAAAAGGCATCACACACAGTGTAATTGCCGTTAAGTTCCCTCCTGGTTTTATCGCCCATTCCTCTTAAAGGTCTCCCTTTTTCGGCCTTACCCAGAATGCCACCTGCTTAGTTGTTACAGTGAGCCCCAGTATGACTCTAAAATGGAGGACAAAAGTGGAGTGATGCTCAAAAAGGAGGACACTCAACAGCAGTCCGGACAGAGGGCTGGAAAACCAGACTGTCCAGACAAAACTTGGATGACTGGTCACCATATTAGCTACTGCCATACTTGTTAATGGCACCAATGATATGGCCGGTTGGCTCTGAGTTCCCACTAATGCCAGACATACATCAGTGCATCCTCTGTCAACCGAGGATGTTAAATGACAGCGAGAGGACCACCCCCCCCCCCCCGCTCCCGCCGCTCCTCCGCCGGATCTCACCAAGTAGTTGTCAGCATGTTTGGACTTGAGCATGCACGTGACATCGTGCAGGTTCGCCCTGTACGCGTCCTCTGAGCAGACCACGGGGAAGGACACGGCGATGATGCGCTCCGTGATGTAGGTCAGGTCAAGTTCGTATCCCTCCTCCATCGCTAACGTCCCATCTGACGCAGCCACCTGTGCAAAACGAGCCAACGTCACGCCAACGTTACGCCAACGTTACGCTAACGTTACTCCAACGTTACGCCAACGTTACGCCGACAGACAACAGACTTCAGATGAGGGCGATTTCCTCCGGAGATATTCTACTCGCTATAGATCAGGCCCAAGTGTGTTGCTGTGCTCTCACCTGCCCAGACCCCCCACATGGGGGGGCCACTCCCACCCCCTAAAGATATAGTCCGGTCAAAAAATAACCCTTTAAAGAGGAACCAGGAACCACCCTAGTCAGCCAATTAGTCATAAGAACAAACTGACAGGTAGGCAAATAGATAAAGACCAAGATATCTATCTATATCTGTTTACAGTTCTTGTGTGTTTATTTATACAGTATGTGAATTCATCTACTCCTAGTTCCTGTCCTGACTCATATCCCACCCAGAGTGTATCCCAGCCTTGTGCCACATCCCTCTTACGATAGGCTCCATGATCCAGTATCGGACATTGTAGTAATATGCATTGTAGTGATGATGGACGGACATTTCTTGCTCTCTGCACTTGCGCCTATCACATTTCTGTCTACATATATATATACACACACACACACACACACATATATATATATGCATTTCACCTGGTTTTAATATCCTGCAGCACATTATACATATAACACACAGAAAGTTAGATATCACAAAGGAAACAGGGCGCTTTTCTATGGTTAATATTGTTTAAAGCCATGCAGGTAGTGACAGTAAATTTTACAAAGCCTTAGTGTTTCGTAGCGAGTTGACTACGTAACTTTCATACCAGTAATCTCGTATATCCATGATAAATGCGACAAAAATAATGCGGCTGTGAGCACTGTCACTGTGTCAAGCAGCAACGCATGCTGGGATCGACTGTCTGAACATTAAGCGTGAACTCCCCTTTTCCATCGTCCATTACTATCAACGGCTTGGAGTCCTCGATTGTGAGCGTGAAGTAATAATTCCGAAATGGAAACATGGAGGAGCAGGACTGAATGAGAAGCCTGTCAGGTCCTCCCAACAAGCTACCACAGGCTGCTTTGTAAGTGCAGGAGATTAAATGCCTCCGCCAACTCACTTCAAAACATGTCCCCTCGAGGAACAAGTTCTTTCAAGACAGTATCTGTGAGCGTGGCTCCAACATGCACCAGAGCGGTCTAATTACAGCCATATGCCCTCTGGGCTCTGGCCTTTCTGTGCCAAATTTTTTTACGCCTATGCAATCCTCCATTTTGTACTATTCTGAGGTGCTACTACATGACATGCACAGAAATGTCTCACTATGCATGCAAAAGTCAAGGCAACATCACCAAATCAACAGCCTCATTTGTTTTTAAGGACAACGCATTTTTAACCACAACCAAAGCAACATTTGCCAGCTATACGAGGTTCGTATTCATTTAGGGTTCCACATTTTTCTAGATCAGTGATTCCCAACCCAGTCCTTGGGGATCCCCAGACAGACCACATTTTCCCTCCTTCCCAGCTAACAGCCAATCAAGAACACAGAATTCCTGGTACAGGGGCGTTAGAATCTGGGAAGCAGTAAAAATGTGGGCTGTCTAGGGGTCCTCAAGGGCTGGGTTGGGAAACACTGTCCGAGATGATGGTCTGATTTATGTTCATCCACAATACTGCGTAAGAAACATTATAGGTGCGAGGACAATGCTAATCACTGTAAACCTTAATGACAGTCATTAAAGCAGCCATTATGTTACATGGTTAACCTGAGGTCCCACAGCAGGCCCTGAGAGCAGCCAGAAGAATCCCAGCAGGAGAGTACAATCCAGAGCCAACAGAAGACAAATAAATATCAAACAAATACCCAGTTGAAGGTTCACTGAGGCTCCTGAATGCAGGAAGATGGACATGAGAGGAGAATAAGCAGCGAACTCAGATTTGACTTGAGATACGTTGGGTTGTGAAGGAGATTCATGGGTCAGGGAAAGAAAGGCTTTACTCTATGAGACTCAAACTAACACTATCTGAAGAAGATGCATCAACAAAGCGTATTAAGGTATTTGCCAGAATTACTTGGCTAACCTTCCGGAAAAGGTGACATTCTGGAAATATCTTGGGCAGGTTGGACATGGGGAAAAAAGAGAAGAAAATCCTCAGCAATGAAAGGGAGGTGGGTCCTATCATTCAGCAGAAAGGATGACCTTCCTTGGTCTAACCAGCAATTCTGTTCTCAGTGATTTCCTTATAAAATGGAAAGAAACATACAGAGAGAGAGAGAAAAATTAGATTTATACCACAGTGTTGACTCAGGAGACAAACAAATCAGCTTTAGATTCCTTCCAAGTCTTAACAATTTGCCAACAGTTTCAGGTGATGAATGATTCTTTGAATGAAGCTTTTTGTTTTGCTTGAACACAGTTGGATTTGCGATATAATTTTCAGGAAGTTCCATTATTTTTAGAGTGACATGATTCTATTATGGACAGTAACTTCAGTAACAGCATTGCTGTTCATCCAGTTCCAGCACACCTTCAGATCTATGCCGTAAAAATTAAGTGAATCGTTGCAATGAATCATTAACTTGTTCATATCGGATTGATTGGCAGAATGATTGTTATTTTGGTTCTCCTGGTAACTTGCTGTCATAGTTCTGTTGCGCCAGTCAAAAATGTAGATTTTAAATCAACCAACCGCTGCACGGATATTCTTAGTCAATTTATTTTGGTCCTGTAACACCACTGTACTGTATATTCGTCACCCCTGTGCACAGAATGGTTTCCTCCATCATTCTCCCACTGAACCTAAAACAGGCACCAATGCCCAGCTAAATGGCCTCCCATACAAGTGATGCCTAATTACTGTTTTTCTTTTTGCTAGGTCATAGAGGAATGCGTTCAGAAAAGGATAAGGCTTTTTCCCGCTTGCAGACTGCCGGCCTAATGGGTTGCACATGTGGAGTGTGGCCGATGACTCTCCCGACTCTGTGTTATTTCAGTAGTCACTCCCACCCTATGGCCTGAGTGGCGCGCCAGCATCTTTGGGATGCGGGTCTGTAGATTTCACGTCCCCCTTCGATGGCACCTATGCACCTCTGTAAGGATCGTAACCATCGTCGTACTGAAGGAGAGAGGAAGACGTGAGCTGGGACGAGGGAAAGAGAGGGGCAGGCGATCAAAGAAAGAGGGGGCCAAGCAAGTGAATGGAACAGAGTATCCTGCATGCCGCTAACTCAAGCCGTACGGAGACCTCGCCTGGAGGTGTCTGAACACCGAGGATCTGCCTCGGCCCAAAGGAGCCTGACTTTTTACACAAAACGGGGTCGACCGGGGCTCCATGCACATGCAGTGAGGTTTTGCAGAAAGCCAGAAATGCCATGTGTCACTAATCCCACTCGGCAAGAGCTTCCAATCCATTGTAGCTCCACGCACACTCCGGAACAAATATAGCACGCTGGCTTTGAAATGTACGAGAACTAAAGACATAATGACACAAATGAAAGTTTTTTTTTTAAGTTCTTTTTTTGACCACACAGCCAGAAGAACAAGAAGACATTATGGGCAACCCTGTATGTTTAATGTAAAGCCACCCGCTTCCCCCCCCCCGCCCCCGACTGAGTTTTCTGTGGAAGTGCGTTCTTGTCTTCTGTGTTCTCACACAGAGTTGAAGTCTTCCTCGGGAGCCAACGTAAACAAACAGGAAGCATCCGCTAGCTTTCCAGCACAGCACCGAGCGTTTTCTCCAGACCTTCCCAGAGCATTCAGTGGGACACGCTTCAGAAGACACAGGGAGGCAGATAAAGACAAAAACCGGGGTCTAAGTGCTGGAAGTCGCACTGTGTAAATAAAGGCTATTAACCACACACGCCCCCCACCCCCTTGCCATCCAACACGACCCTTTAAAAAAAGACCTCGCACCCTACCTTTAAGACAGAATCCCAATAAGTTTGAGGTGAGTAAGGAGTCAGAGAAACCGCAGCAGGAGACGAGGGAGAAGGTTCCGGAGAGAGAACCGGACTCTTA